TTATTAATCTGGCGTTTGGCAAACTTGTTGGTTTTTGGAATGACCGTCTTTTCCATCAATTTTATCAACATCCATGACTTTTTGCAGTAATAATGCGCAATTTTCGAAAACTTATTTTTCTGTGTTCGACATTTATTTTACAGTTAACAAATTGGAGAAATATGACTCTAGGTACCTTAAATTGTAGGTAATTTAATTGCCTATAACATAAAATGACTAATATTCCGATAGGTCGTTTAGATTTTCTTGGGCAGTAAAAAAACACGTAAATTTGCTGATTATTTGTAATTTGCCAACTTAGTATCGCTTCTTTCGAGTTACTTTTTTGATATTATCATTCTGCATACCCTTCCCATCATAAAGGGCAATAAAATGTCTACTAACAATTTTTTCAAGCTTTCTGGTTTTATGATCTACTTCGACTGGAGTATTTGACCCGTCAATGAAAGGATACACCGGAAGAAGTTATGAAAAAGATGTTAATGATAATAACTGCAATAATTTGTAAAACGACATTTTATTTTCTACAAACAAAATACATATTTACAAACTATCCTAATTAGAAGACGAGTCTAAATATAAATGAGAAAATGACCCATACTGTCCACAACAAAAAGATGACTATTACGGTTTTAGTCAATTGATGTAACCAGTACAGCCTGAAAAAAATCAAATCACAATTTTTGCCACTTCTTAATCTGACAATGTGTATCCTCTACATGCAGTGTGTAATGTGCTGTTCATTTCGCATAGTGTTCGAATATATGTATAAGCACAGATTATTTCCTTTAAAAGTCGCCACCTTACCTTACTCGAAGCTTCTGTCCTGCTGGGAGCGTCTCTAAGGGGTCCTTCATCAAGTATATCCGCAACCCCAGGGTGTAGTACTCCAAAGATTCCTCCCAGTCAAAATCCTTGACGTCGCAGTAGAAGATCTTCTTGTCCTCGTCGGACATCCTGCCTATAAGTCCTCTCAGATTTCCAGTGGAGTATTTGACCCGTCTATGAAACCACAGACAATATAGCGTATCGCTACAGACTGCTACTTAAATGCTGGAAATTGGCAACCCGAAATGGAAGCAGGGTCTCCTTAGCCGGCTTCCAGCTATAAAATTTAGCGTGGTAACTCTTCTACTTGCTAATAGGCGGCAGTTCCAGCGGTGGCTTTGTTGCCAAATAATAACTGTTAAATAAATTTAATGCTTTCAATTATGTAATTAAAGAGATAAGGAACTTATCTTGTGTTTGGAAATCGCATTTGCCTTAAATGTTAAATAATATAAATCAAGTTCGAATTAAAATTATGAATTTACCTAATTAATTATTTATTTTATATCACCTTGGAATGGGAAAATTCAAAAACTCGAAATTAATGTTTTTAGATTTGTGCGTCGACTTCCAATATGGTACGATATTAACACCTATGTTTAAAAAAATTGCATTATACAGGTTGTGTATCCTTAGATGGGTACTGC